CCTGGACACCCGCTGTTCTACGTCTGGGTCTAAAGACCTGTGACAGAGGTGAGCACTGTGTCTGGAGAGCCAAGCACTGTATGTCCCTGCTCTGGGCCGAGTCTCGGCAGGCCTTTGTGGAGGCTGGAGTGTGTGCATGTGTGCGTGTGCGAGTATATAGTGAGAACACGGGAAGCTCACATGCGTGTACCTGTGTGCATGTGTGCAGGAATGTGTGGGCCTGGCCCAGGTGTGGGAGCCAAGCCTCCTGCGAGTCCTCCCGCCTGCTGTGACACCTTTCATGCCCCGCTGGGCTCTGCACACCCACTGAACCCCTGGCAACAAATCTTTAGTCATTAATCCTCGAAAGACAGTGTTTATGGGGCAATTTTGATATTTTGTGGGCATCTTAAAAGTCAAACCTGCAGTGAGTGGCTCAGACAGCAACCCAGGTGGGGAAGGAGGCCCCTGGCCTGGGGGCTCAGGTGGGACAGGGGCTGCCATTGGCTGGTTCTGGGGGCTGCTCACTGGTTCTGGTTGGTGTTGGGTTAAGGTGACTTAGGTCCATGGTGCCGGCTGTGTGGTTTCTGTCCACTGAGTTCTTTACATCCTCGAGCTGACAGCTGTGATCGCTTGACCCCAGAGGCCACGAGCAATCTCAATATTGTGACAGGGAGGCCTCATCCGAGATGCACTTGGCTGGTTCATGTGCGTGGAGGTGCCCGGGTCTCCTTTCTCCAGAATTCAGCCGTGCCAGCTGCCTTTCGCACCTTGGGAGTTTGCTGATGTGTATAGAGCCGTGTGAGCTGAGATGAAACCCTCACAGCGGGAAACACCAGCCACCACGATCTCTGCGCACCCCCAGAGAGAAATCACCCGCACGGTTTCAGTGGCATGTTCCGGGCTCCACCCCACCTCGGGCACAGCTGGCCAGGGTGGCGGATGGGTCCTGCCTTTCAGGTTGTGCCTTCGTCTCGGTCGGTGCGCTCACGGTGGGTTCTCTGAGTGTGGATGGACAGGCTCAGCGGGGGATGTGTGGCCCTGCACCTTCCGTGCCCAGGGGGCCCTGAACCACAGTGTGAGAAGGAGCGGGTGCGGGAAGGCCCAGGGTGAGTGTTCAGGCCCGTGGGGCCGAGTCTAGAGGCACACTTATGAAACTTAGCAGAGAACATTTAAAATCGTCTTGCACTTTTTTCCAAATACAACCTGATACATAATATAGCTCTATAAAGAAAAGTCAGCTGGGTGTCCTGACCAGGTGGGCTCACTCCTGGGTGTGTCCTTATAACCCAGCGATTTCCAGCCTTCTTCGTCTCATGGCACACACACTAATTATCAAAATTCTGTGGCATACCAAAAATATTTTTTGTTGCTCTGACAAAAAATCAGTACAATTTTGATTCATTCACACCAGAGGACCATTGTTGTGTTGGCCAATGCTGTTTTTTAGTTGACAGTCTAAGGGAAAAGGGGTCAGGTATTGCATGCTTTAAAAATTCTTGCAGCACACTGGTCGAAAATCGCTGTTACGTCCTGTTTCATCCATACATGGCGTCATATCAGGAAACTCAGTCAGTGGGTTACAGCTCTGCAAAGCCCAGAGCAACAGCAGACATATACTGGCTTCAGAGCAAATAAGTAGTGGTTTTAGAAGAACAAAATTCCTTACTGGTTGCTTCTCTAGGACGCACAGCCAGCAAAAACCAAAAAAACAAAAAAAACAGATCGTAGTGAATTTGGTTTAAAACGCTTTTGCTGTTATGCTGTTAATTACTTATTCAGCCTAAGACACCAAATAAACAGCTTCACCCGCCAGCCCTGCAGCTTAGTAGCCCCAGCTCACTGCTGATGTGGGGGTGAGCCCACGGAAGACCAGCTGGAGAATCCCGGCTGACCCGGATGGGATTGCTGACCGATAAGTGACCTAATCCTGAGCTAACGAATGACCCTGTTTTGTGGACGATTAAGCATTGGAGAGGTTTGTTATGCAGCATAAGCTAAACGATACAGGACTCTGTTGGACCGACAGCACGGGCGAGCCTCTTTTCACCCCACCCTGCCCCACCGGATTTGGTGTGTCTTCACAACATGCCTTGTGAAAGTACTGGTTTAGTAGTTTCTTTAGTAATTAGAAGTATCCCTTCCCCACATCTGTCTTTGTCTCTCATCACTGAAATCATGAACCAAACTTTGTAAAAGAGCATCAGCCGCATGAAGGCAAGATAAGAAAGCGGCAGAGGCCTTTCCGAGGTTGTTTCTGTGTTCATGTGTGCTGTCCAGATGTGCTATGTTGCTAGTGGTATTTTGCACAGATGTGATTGCTTCGAGACACAGGTGCGATAGGTAGCAACCTGGTCATACAAAAGGCTATTTTCTCAGCCTGATTATATTAATACCAAAGGTTTTAGCCCTATCACGAGCTTATGAGATTTGCCCCAGAGCCAGATGCCCTCACTCTCAAGCCTGTGTGTGGGGGGTGATGTGTTTGTGTGAGTGTGTTACATGTGTGGTGTGTGTGGTGTGTGCGAATGTGTCTGCTCCCCTCTCCACTGATCACCATGTCAGGTGCCCTGACTTGCGCCCCGCTCCTGACACCAGCCTACTCAAACCTGGGCTGCCGCCCCTTTTGTCCATCTCACGTCCCTGCGGGGCTGTGGTTTTCTCCCTCCACCCAAATTCTACTTGCTTAGGTGTTTAAGGCCTGTAGCTTGAGAAGGAGTCGTGGACCTCTGCAGAGGAAGCCTGTGTCTTCTGCCGTCTCTAGGGGTTTTGGTTGGAGGGGCGGTACCTGGCTGGCTCAGGAGGGCTTCCGTGGAGCAGCGGAGCAGAGCGTTGTTCCGGTTACAGGACGTGAAATGCAGCACAGACCACGCTCGCTCTTGGGTACTTTGCGAACCCAGGTTCCCCCTGGGACACAGTCAGGGCCACAACAATGGCAGCTCCTGGATCCCACCCAGGGACCTCGTGCTGCGTGTTTTGTGGACGCGAGACAGTCTGTTTGTCTGTCCTCCTGCTGAGGGCCCTGCCCAGGAATCCTGTCCTCTGGGGATTGGTAGGGTCCGGTTACCATCTCGGTGTCCATGCGAGCCCCACCCCCCATCCCAGGAAACCCTCTGTGTGAGTCAGCACACCTAGTGATAACACAGAAGTGATATGAGATTGTTGGATAATTTTTAAGATGTGAATAAAGTGCAGCTCGTGGATGCAATTTTTCTGTTGAAACCCAGCTGTTACTGAGGTCACCCTGCTGTTTGGCCTTTTCATTGATTTTAGAGAGAGAGAGGGAGAGAGAAACACTGACCTGCTGTTCCACTTAGTTATGCACTTGTCAGTTGTATGTGCCCTGACTGGGGCCTGAATCCGCAACCCTGGTGTGTGGGACAGTGCTCTAACCAACTGGGCTACCCAGCCAGGGTTGAGATTTACTTGGACTTGGCTCAAAAAACTTATCTTAAGCTTCGGAGCTATCAAAGGGCCCCTTGGAAGTGCTGGCAACTACCAGGCACTCTGTCCTCTGCCTAGTGTTTTTTGGCTAAACATTCTCCTTTAAACGTCACCTTTTTGTGTCTGCCTCCATGTGACGGCACCGTCCCTGGTGTCAGGAGGGTGGGCCTGTGTGCATGTATGCGTGGGCGTGCGCAGTGGGCGTTCCTGGGGGCTGCGGGCAGCAGGGAGGCCCTCACAGCGACATGCACACCGCACAGTTGCTGCCCGGGCTGCCACGTTCCCTGTTGCGCGTGGGTCACTGGCCAGCAGTGACCACGGAACGCTGTGGATGGCTCGACGATAAACACGCGAGAAAAAACATGCACAGAGACAAACTAGTTTCTGTGGAGAAGTAGGGACGAAATGGCCACCCCTTCTAGTGAGGAGCGCGCCGATTTACAGTCCATACCTGCTTTTATTGGGCTCATTTTGCATAATAATTCAGGTAAAGTGCAGTACTCATTAGGGGAAGTAAGGAACCATAGAAAACAAAGAACTCTGCCGGTCTATTGAGTTGGGGGTCAAAGAGCTGTAAGACTGAGGAACAAAATAACTTCCTCCTAAGACCCTTCTCATTCAACTGAGAGCATTCTGAACAAACGAGGTTTCACAGTAATTTACATGTTCTTTCTTAGGCCTGATCACCCGGGGAATCCGCACTTCTCAGTACCGAGCTGCACCACCCTGTCATTGTTTCAGGCTTAGGTGGAGCAAGGGAACTAGGTAACCAAGAGATAAGGAGATTTTCTCCCAGACGCTGAGAACTCAGGCTATGTCAGAGCCGAGGAGCGAGGGTCCATCACCCCCTTTTGCTGCAGCCCCCCAAGTCCTTCTTTTGGGGGGCCTCCCAAAAGTGATCGTGCCTGTCTTAAGTCGTTCCCCCCATGGGGAATCTTACCCGTCTTTGGCTAACTGACCAAGCTTTTGGGGGTTCAGTCATGAATAAAGCAGCAGAAGCAGCATTCCTGCCAGGGAGACAAGCTTTTGTCTCCTTGCTGGCTCACGGTTCCAAGGGCGTTCCCTTAGCCTTAGCTAGGCGGGGGTTTCAGCCTCTGATACCAGTCAGGGCGGTTCCCAACAGTTCCCAGGAGCCCCTGCCTCAGCTGTGCCCCTCTCTTGGTCCCCACCCCGTTCCTGTCCTCTCCCACCCCAAGGTCGTGTCTGTTTATCGGACAAAGCTATCTCCATCTTTGTCTCTCCGATGCGCGCCGACACTTGGGAGCCATGCCTTTCACACCCAGAGCAGAGCATCAAGGCTTTTGTTTTTGGCTTCTTAATTTTTTTGCAACAGAGAAGACCGTCTTTTGCAGAGAATTAAATCACTCCTCCAGGGGACAGTTTCAGACCAAATTTTCTTCCCTCTACACAAGCACACACAACGCCTACAGCACACACAGCACACACAGTTTCAGACCACCCCTGCGTCTCAGTGCTGAGAGGCAGGTGGAGACCGCATCTCCCCGGACGCACAGGGGAATGCGCGTAAGGTTCCTCTCTGAGGTATGACTCGGTGAGAGCGAAGCACCGGGGTCCGCTCAGAGCCGGGTAGCCCGGCGCACCTCCCGGACGGAGCACTGCTGGGGCTGTAAAGAGACGGGAGTGTGTCTGCGGGCTGCCATGGCCCGATTCCCAGGGCATACTGTTACGTGAAAATGACAAGGAGCGAAAGAGTAAATACACGTGCTCCTTTTTGTGTAAGAAGAGAAAATATAAATATGTATGTATCTTTCCAAAAGAAACATGGAAGTAAACCAGAAACTAGGGAAAATGGTTATCTGCAAGGGGGCCCTTGGAGCCATACAAACACAGCAGCCCGTGGCATGCGTGAAGGTGACCTGTGCGGTGGTGGGACATGTGACTATTGGCGTGGTGGGACACGTGACCCATGGAATAGGCTAACACGACAGCCCTGCTTGTGTCCTTTGAGTCGACAGCGAAAATATACCAGCGACCTTAGTAAATTTGCATCTTTAAAGCCGTTACCTAAGAAGACAAGCCAAACCCAGTACCAGAGAGAAACAGGAGAGTTGGAGGCGTTCCCGTGAACTCTGAAAGGCACATCGTGTTCGCAAGCTTTTTTACGTTCTTCCCCTTTTTCCTTCTCCCCCACAGCTTCCCCGGAGGACCCGCTGAGTAACAACAGTGTCCCTTTCTGTATGAGCAGAGGGAGGCAGGTTCTCACGGAAGCTACAGCAACCACAGCCACAAAGACGCACAGGGTTATCGGGCCTCTTGCGGGTCATTTTCTGCCCTAGAATTCCCCGGACAGAGCGACCCAGTTCTCCGAGTCCTGGAGCTACTGCGGGAGCAGCGCCGGAGCTCAGCGACTCTCCAAGCTTTCCCGTCGTGCGCAGGGCAGGACGCTGGCCCCGTGGGGCTGGGGGAGGGAGGGTGGGCGGGGCTCCGTGGAGCACTGCTTGATTATGGTCACCTGGTCGGATTTTTAAATAGGTTTTCCTGTTATACGATCAAGTCCTTTCTCCTAAGGGCCACTTGGGAAATAGAGCGATGTCAGAGAAGAAGGAAATTCCCCACTGCCCGGGCCCCTGGAGACAGTCGCCTCCCACCTACATCCTATACGGTGTTCCAGGAAACCGGGGTTACCTCCATAGAGCAAGAATCCTCACCAACACTCAACACACACTTTCCCTTTGTCCCTCAAACTGAGGATTACAGGCCCGCCTGCTGGGGCAAGGCCGAGTTCTCTGACTCCGTGCAGGGCCTGCACAGGGTCTGTCGGCAGTACTTTTTATTTTCTCTCTGTTCACAGTAAACAGTTTAACCTCGGAACAGAGCGTGTGCGTGAACACTCCGCGGCCTGCTTTAATGTGCATAGCTGTCCTCTGATGGCATTTTCAACGGGTCCCAAGTGTTTGGAAAGCAGTCCACGGAAAGTGTGGACTCCTGGCACGTGCGCACCGTTAACACGCGCATCACACTCCTCCGTGTCGCTGCCCTGGGGACAGTCGTGCCACACAGTCAGCAACACAGTCAGCAACACAGCAAGACGGATCGCAAGAATCCATCTGGCGTTTCAGTCATCTTGCTGAGCAACAAACCACCCCGCACCTAGTGGATTAAACAACAATCAGCGGGTTGCTCGTGACTCTGCAGCCCCGCGGGCTTGCCGCTGTCACCGAGTGGCTGCGGTCACCTGAGCGTCCGCCGCGGGCTCGCTCCATGCCTGGCAGTTCGCCGGGTGTCCGCCAGGGCTCCTCAGCTCTCTCTGCGGCCACTGCAGGAAGGGGCCGGGACTTCTTGGCTGCAACCGTGCTCCACGAAGGCAAGCGCACGGGCAGGGGCTTATCAGGCTTCCGCGAGAACAGGTGGTCGAGCCACATCCCGTGGCCAAGCCCAGAATCAAAGTGGAGGTGTCTCGGGGATGTGACCCTGGGAGGGAGGCGCCATCCGAACGCGCTGACTGCCGTCCCGACACCGTTGGGAGCAGTCATCTCTAGGTGACCGGTGAGTGGCGTCCATCACATCCTTTTGAGTGTGAGTTGCCCAGAACCTGCCCCCCAAATGTCTTACAGGGACCAGTGGACACAAGTGTGTTTGACAGGTGCGAAGCTGAGCTGGTTGTTGGGGACAAAAAGCCCCATGGAGTAGGGGGTGGGGTAGGGGTGGGGGGTGGGGGGAGAAAGGCTCAGTCCTGTCTCCGGGCACCGGGTGATTTTCGGAAGAAACTTCAGTCGGGCTGAGCTTGGCATGGGGCGCCCCTACGCACCTCCTGTTGCCTCTGCCTCTTCCTTTCTCTGGAGCTCAGGGTCCCTCCTGCTGCCCCAAGCACTGCCACGCCCCTCACTGCCTCCCGCAAACATCAGGGTGAGAAATCGGGGGGAAGGAAGGCACTGGGTGAGCACCTAACTGAACGGACTCTACACAGCTTCCCTGAAGCGCTTACCTTTTCCTTTTCGCGATACCGTGTTATTGTGATTGTTCGTGATGCTTGACGGGTTGCTCCTCTGCGGGCACTTCTGCTGCAGCAAACACTTTTTCAATTTAGGTTCAGCTTTAGTATTACCAGTTCAACAGGTTGACAATTAGAGGCATTTCTTTTACTTTCCAGGAGGTGGCGCCATAGCACACACTTTTGTTTTCTTTTACCGGAGTTCACTCTGACTGCATTCCAGAGCCAGCGCTTTGCACCCTCCCCCACCTCTGCCAGAGTGTTTCGAGTGCCCGCTTCATCACTGCTAGTGCTTCCAGAGTCACCGGTGCTTTGCTGCTGTGGTGTTGCGGCAGTTGTGTTGCAGGCATTGTCACTGGGGTCACCAGGATAGTGGGTGCCCCTGCTGTGTCAGGGTCCTCTGGGCCACAGGCACTGCCACTGTGGCCAGGTATGATAGCGCAGGTGATGGGGAGCTGGTGTCATGGGTGCCTCTGCCACTTCTGGGGTTGTTGGGCTTGCAGGTACTACCCTGTGACTTGGGGCGCTGAGGTTGTGAGCCCTGCCGTCGCTGCTGTTTGCTTCCCCATGGCTGCTGGTGCTGCGGTGGCTGGGAGACCCGCAGCCTCCACTGCGGCTAATAGGTTCTCGGGCTCTCCGGCGGTGCGGGCACCACCGCAGCTGGGAGAGGGAGCCAGAGTCATTGGCACCACTGCTGCTGTTGCCCTATTTTTTCACCGGGGTCATTGTGGGGGGCGAGGCTGTGGGCCCCGCCTCCGCCACTGCCACCATGTCCGCCGGGGCCACCGGCACAGGGGTCATGGGCACAGGCACCACTGCAGGCAGACCAGGGTCAAAAGCACCGTTCCTGCTGTTTCTCCAGTTCCGCCTCCCCTGTGTGTCCCGATTCACCCGCCTTCAGAGGTGTAAACGCGCCGGTAACTGTGGCATCAGTGTGTCCAGCAGAACTGAGTTATGAATGTCCCACTAGTTGCAGACTGAAGGGGCGAGACAAAGGGAGTGCGTCCTGCTCTGCCGTGTTGCCCACGTCAGTCTGGTGAGCGTTTCGTGTTTATTTTCTCCGTGTGTCAGACTGCAGGGACTCAGTTAAGTATCTCGGTGTTTTGGTCCAAGGGTCCAAGATGGCAGAACTCCCACATACCAACCAGCACCCACGGCCAAGAGGCCTGGTGCTGTGGTTCCTTCCTGCCGTGTGCAGGTCAGGTGGTTCCTGGGAAGTGGTGGTGGACCTGGTGGTGGCATCGAAGGGTCCCCCCACTGGGCTCTGCACTAGGAAAGTTCTGTGGCATCCTTGTGCTTCAGTCATGTGGACTCTGACCAGCGGTGTCCGCCGTGTTGTGGATGCAACGAACAAGTTCACGTGGACTGCAGAAGTCCTGTGGAGAGAAAAGGACAGCATGGCCACTCTCAGAGAGAGAGAGAGAGAGAGAGAGAGAGAGAGAGAGAGAGCGAGTGCCTGGACCCTTGCCTGGACAAGCTTTTACTGCTTTCTAATAGCATACATCAAAGGAGGTTCTCATTCATTATGCTCGGGTTTGCTTTAGGTGCTTACTTTTACAAATTACAAAGGAAGGGATGTTACTGATTACTTCTTAGAGATTAACAAGGAAAAAATGCTGCAAATGCAAGGGAACGATAAGAGTGATTGGTCTGGTTACACTCAGTCCTTGGGAGAATTAATTAGCTCAGACTTCAGGCAGTTACTTTAGAGAGCTGCAGTAAGCATTTGCTGCCTGAACTCAGGGTGAGGGAGTTTTAGCAAAAGTAGGCCTCAAAGCAGCCTACGTGTACTGCAGGCCTGGTTTTGCACGGGAAAGCTGATCCGTGGGTTTGGCTCCTGTGTGCAGACTCACGCCTGTCGTTTTTCGGTTAGGGCTGGGCTACATTTGCCACGCCAAGTGGATCGGTTCCCTATACTTTAGTTCTGGGGTTTCTCCTGCATTTAATTCGTTTGTACAAACAACAGACATGCCGTATGCTGCTACTGTGTGCCTGGTTCTGGGTGACTGTGGCAGCAGGTCAGACAGTGGGGCCATACTTTGACATTGCAGCTCCTGAACAATGAGTTCTGTGGTTCGAAGCTGCCGGGGTAAGTGGACGTGCTACTGTGAACCTCAACCATTCTGAATCTTTGATGGGAGAAGCAGTAGCCACCCGGACCTTGCCAACCTCTCTTCTTTTGCCCTGCTGTGAGCCTGAGGCTCCACACCCCTCGTGTCTCAAGGGTGTCCCCGTGCCTTCCTCCAGACGGGACACCATTTCTCCTGCATGAGGTTCTGCAGAAGATCCCCTTCCCCTGTGCCCAAGGTACTGGGTGAAGGCCAAGCCCCATCCCGGAGTCCTGGCCAAAGGGCCACCTACCCATTCTCCGTATTCAGCTGTCAACTGTGCCGTCAGAACTGCACATCTGGTTGGCTCTGGTTACAACAGGTTGTCTGATGCTGAGCCTCAGCCTTGAGCTTGGAAACAGGGTTGCTGAAGCCCAGACCTCGGGGACTCCTTCCAGGCAAACACTGGGACGCGTCCAGGGGGTTGGATGCTCATTACGTCCCTTTTTAATTAATGTTTTTGTGGTTAAATTTCCTTTTAAGCAAAGAAGATAATTCTCTCTCTGCTTCTTGAATATATAGTGCCCAGAATGAAATTAGGTCAAAGACATATCTTTGGGGCCCAGAGAATAAGCTTTCAGATCTATGTGGGTGGACTGTCATTCATATATATATATATATATATACACACACATATATACATATATATACATATATATACACATATATATACACACATATATACATATATACATATATACATATATATATATATATATATATATATGACTTCCAGACTTCCAGTCAAGATGGCTGTATAGACAGACGTGGCTCACCTCTTCGCACAACCACATTGAAATTACCACTAAAATATAGAACAACCATCACTCAGGAACATCAGAATTTGAGCTGAATGGAGGTCTGACAGCTATAGAATTAAAGAATCCACATCCACCCGGATTGGTAGGAGGGATGCAGATGAAAACAGGCTGATCCCATATCCACGTGTGGTGGAAAAAAATTCGGGAGGGCTATCTCAGGAGCGAGGAGTCCCAGCCCCACACCAGGCCCCCAGCCCAGGGTTGCAGTGCCAGGAAGATAAGTCCCCACAACTTCTGACTGCAAAAACCAGTAGGGATTGAGTTGGTAGAAGAAACTTCTGGAGCCCCAAACAGTTCTTCTTTAAGAACCCACACATGGACTCATCTACTCAGACTCGCACCCTCTGAGCTTTAGCATTGGGGTAGCAGTTTGAAAGACACCAGTGGCATACAGGGAGAAACTGAGGTGTCTGGCTTAAGGGGAGCAGGGGCCAATTGTCCCTTTGCTAAAACCTCTCCCCACAGAGCTGGTAAGCTGGTGTCATATCTGAGACTCCATCAACTGGGCTAACACTGTTTGACCAGCCTTAGATTCTACCCCACCCAATTTACAGGCCCTCCCTAATTGCTTTTCCATAAGAATGGCTGGTCTGGGCTCCTAACTCCTATCAAACAATCAACAGCTGGCTTCAGTGAGCCCTAGCAACAGCCAGATTAGATTCACAGGTTGACTTCACCTGGGACCCACCCAGCAGAAGCATCAGCCATCTCAGATTACAGCTCAGGCAGGGTGCCCCAGGCAAAACACAGGTGGGGGCTGACCTTGACCTGTACCACCTGGGAAACCCCAGGGCAAGCACACCCAGTGGACAGCTACAGACCACATCAGAGTACCACCACCCTGCCCCTGCACAGCTGATCCTCCATGGAGGGTGGAAATTGGTGGTCAGTGGTCACAGTCCTTGCAGCTGACTGGCCTGGGTAAATCCCTCCCATTGATCTGCCAAGAGCAGCCAAGGCTCAACTACAAGAGGAGGGTGCACTGAACCCACACAAAGGGCACACCTTGAGTACCCAGCTTGGGTGATAGTGGAGGTTGTGCCTCTGGACCCTACAGGACACCTACTACATTAGGCCACACTACCAAGACACAGAGTCAAAGCAGCTCTACCCAATACATAGACACAAACACAGGGAGGCTGCCAAAACAAGGAGATAAAGAAACATGGCCCAAATGAGAGAACAGATCAAAACTCCAGAAAACTCAGATGCAGAGTTCAAAACAGTGGTTATAAGGATGCTCAAGGAACTTAGGACTTCAGCAGCATAAAAAAGATCCAGTCAGAAAAGAAGGATACACTAATTGAAATAAAGAACAATTTACAGGGAAACAACAGTAGAGTGGATGAAGCCGAGAATCAATTCAATGATTTGGAACATAAGGAAGCACAAAATGACCACGTAGAACAGGGGTGTCAAACTCATTTTCACTTGGGGCCACATCAGCCTCGAGGTTGCATTCAAAGGGTTGAATGTAACTTTAGGACTGTATAAATGTAACTACACCTTAACAGTTAAGTGAGACCTTGGTGCTTTTGTCAGGTAGAAACGAGGTGCCGGGCCAGATAAAACAAAGTGGAGGGCTGGATTCAGCCTATGGGCCTTGTGTTTGCCACCTGTGATCTACAGTCAACTATTTTTCACAAGGGCTTCAAGCACATTAATCAGGAAAAGAATGGACTTTTAAACATAGATGCTGGCACAAAGGGATGACCATTTCTTAAAAAAGAAATGATGCCCTGGCTGGTGTGGCTCAGAGGGTTGGGTATCATCTCACAGATTGAAAGGTGGCGGGTTCCGTTCTCAGTCAGGGCACATGCCTATGTAGCAGATTCGGTCAACAGTCAGGGCGTATTCCAGAGGGGATCAATCGACATTCCTCTCTCACATTGATGTCTCTCTCTCTCCCTCTCTCTCCCCTCCTCTCTCTCCCTCCCTCTCTCTCTCTTTGCCTCCCTCTCTCTCTGCCTCTCTCTCTCTCTGTCTCTCTATTCCCATCTCTCTAAAATCAATAAGCATGTCCTTGGGTGAAGATTAAAAAAAAAGAAAATTGGAACCTAACTTTAAAAGTAAAACAAAACATCTCAGATCCAAAGGTAAGAGCAAGTCTATAAAACTATATAACAAAACAGAAGAAAAACATAATAATCTTGAGAAAGCATTCTTGAGTTGGGAAAGCATTCTTTAACATGAAGTCAAAAGCACAAGCAAGAAAGAAATCAAACTCTACCTTAACCCAGACCCTAACACCAAACCCAACCATAAGCTCTAACATTAAGCCATATACTCAGCCCTAGCCTCAGCCCAAACCTGCACCCTCAACTCTAACCCTAACTCTGACCCTGGTCCCTACACTAACCCCAACTCTAATCCTAACCTGAATGCAAACCCCAAACTGGACTCTGACACTAACCTCAAACCTGAACCTGAACTTAAACTTGACCCCTCACCCCAAGCCCAAACGGACTGACACAGACACTGCCGCTATTCTGCATGCTTAGGATGCACCCCTTTGAGGAACAGGTAACACTGAGAAGCCCTTCTGTCTATCTCTGCCCAGAGGGGGGTCCCTACATCTCGAGCATGGACCTTTTGGTCCCTTTGTTCTTTTAATCTTGAATTTTCAAAGCCCCAGTTTGCCTGTGTGCTCAACAGTCCTCATGAAAAATGGTGTTTCTCTCTCAGTGTCCCTGCTCCACCTCATTGTAGGTAAATAATTATTGCAAGTTTGAAGGCATTTCTGAATTGATATATACATGTAAAGAATTTAGGTTTAAAAAACTAAACCAAAAGTATTTCTGACATACTAAAGTGCAGAGTACAATTTAACACACACACATATATTTCCTCACCTAACTTAGGGTTATAATGAACTTACACTCAAAAGAAAACACTGCACTTTAGTTGGTTTATCAATTTTTATAATTTCATGATTTTATAATGTTTCCAATATTACAAAACACCATACATTACATAAGTAATTGTTTTGAAGCTTAAATCATATATACCAGTGTTATTCTAAACACTAAACGATACATGTAATGTCTAAAAATTTTCATAAATGGACAATGGATTGATTTTACTTCCTGTTCACTCAGCACAATGGGGAGTAAACATATCCCTCAGGCCATTTATGACCTTGTGACTCTGGACACATATAAATGACACTTGTTGTGAAGACAAATGCTGAGGAGTGTTCATAGGATCATTTAATTTACTTTGATGAAAGAAAATTCTGCTCCTACTATTGATGAAATTCACTCTGGAAATCCTGTTCTCATTTTTCATCAGTACAAAAGGACAGATGGTCGGGTAACATGAAGAAATAAAGTTATTAATGTTCTCTAGTTGCCAATTCCTCTTATTTCCAAATTGTGAATAAGCAGTAAGAAAGCTGTTGGTCCAGTAAAAGAAAATGAAACAGCAAACCAGCATGAGGATGACGTGGGTGGCTCTGTGCTCAGGAGAGCTTCGTGAGGAGTGGACGCTACTGCGGATGAGCCGAGCTACTCTGTGGTGTCTGGAAAGGACGGTCACCATGTAGACACTACTGCACGCCATTAGGGAGAGAAAGAACACATCCTGAATGAGCACTGTACTGAGAAATATCATGGCCACCTGGTGATCATACGTATGGAGCTTGCAAACAGGACCATAATACCCAGATGTAACATCAGTGGTATTCCTGTTGGCCACAACTCTTAAGATAATCTCAGAATAGATGACCATACTGATGACCCAACAGGAAAATATGGAGGGTTGAATGAGTGTAGAGATGTTGTTCTTGAGCCAGGCCCATTTACGACCGCTTATGGCAATGGTCACCACCTGGAATGTGCTCTGGAGGGATGTTGTGTACAGAGAAATACTCCTGGTAACTCTGTGAGTGTAGAGAACTAGTTTACACCCAGTGTCACCTAGCTCAGGCCTCATTCCAAAGGAACTAATTATACTTGGAATCCCTCTGAATAGGAGGGTCAGGGCGTTAGCCAAAGTTAAGTGGGCAAGGATCCCATCAGCAGGCTTCTTCTTGCGGGGCAGAGCGAAGAAGGTGTGCATGTATAAAGCAAACAGCAAGGAGTTCCCCAGGAAACCAGTACCAGTCTGAATGCCGAGGAGGATCCCAAACAGGGTGTCTCTGGACATCACTGTGTGTCCGTCTCTCTTAGATATTCCAGCCAAGGACAGCACATGCTGCAGACAAATCATTTGACTATGAATGTAAACATAAAAACAATTAAGACTGAGAAGTAGTTTCAAGTTTCAGGGACATATAAATGTAAAGGGAATGTAATAACAAGCCCTGTGGGGAAGGAAGTTATTTGTCAGAAACATAATTTCAAATTCAGGTATGCAGAATGGATTAGGGTTTGCAAAAGAATTTATCCCAAAATATAGTAGATTTTTAAAAAAGATTGTATTAATTTATTTTAGAGAGGGGAAGGGAAGGAGAAAGAGAGGGAGAGAAACATCAGTGTGTGGTTGCCTCTCACGCACCCCTTCTTGGGGACCTGGCCTGGAACCCAGGCCTGTTCCTTCACTAAGATAGAACTGGTGACCCTTTGGTTTGCAGGCTGGGGTTCAATTAACTGAACCACACCAGCCTGGGCTAAAAGTAGTAGATTTAAGGATTTAAAAAAAATAAGAAAGAAAAAAGAACAACAATTATGCTCCTGTAAATGTGGACAGTAGCAAACATCTTAGAGACAGCAGAAATACTGTCAATAGCAGGAAAAAGGACTGGTATATGCCACAGACACAGGAAAATAGGACAATGAAGAAAATGACATAATTACTGGTAAGGAAAAGGATTACATGTATACGTGAAAGAAATAAAACACTGTTGAGTATTTAATCTAGGACTTGAAACCAAGTGAATACAACTGAACAGAACGTGCAGCCAAGAGAGAGAAGCAAGGATGGCAGACAGAAGCCTGCTGAGATGAGCCCTTGTGTGGGGAAGGGGCCCGGAGAGCTGGTCAGAGAGGGAGCCCGGGGTAGATCAGGGCACCAACACGTAATGGGTTTCAGTCTGCAGTCCCATGTGTGTGAGTGAAATAATAGACTCAGGAAAAATGTCTCAGTTCTATGTTGGGAGATTTTTAGAAATCAAGATAAAGAAGAAAACTGAAAATAACCATGAACACAAGCAGAAGTGTAAGAATGAGAAAAAGAAAACTTTAAAAAATGGGAAATTAACCAGCAAAAAAGAAAACAAAAAATGAACAACAAATTCTTGAAGCTGGTATTTCAAAGCAGCCTGATTGTGCACAAGAGCGAATACCAAGAAGGAAGCTGACACAGAGGGACACACAGCTGTAACACTGGGTTCACATTGGGAATGGCAAGAACAAAACCAGAGGCACAAACTCTGGAAAACACTCACCATCCCTTTGCCTCCCCGAGCCACTAGTCACAGCAGCATCCTCACCACAGCAGGTCTCTGTAGGCAGCTCCATGCAGGGGGGTTGCTCTCAGCTGTGCTGCAGGGCAGCAGCAGGAATCCGGGTTATGAGGAGGGGCTGAGTGACTTCATCTCCCTCTGGGCACCAGCCACTCTGTTATCCAAGCTGGAAATTGCCTTGTGGACAGTGACTCAGCCTGGCATGTCCACAGGAACCTAGCTGCTGTCCCCAGTGCACTGTGTCCCCTGTTGCGCTATTAGGATCATTACAACTCTGCCATCTCCTCCTGAGCTAACACATGGCCTCTGGGTGGAACTAAGTGCTCAATTACTCCTCGGGGTCCCAAAGCAATGACGGGAAGCTCATCAGAAGTTCATGCTCCCTCCCTGCTAACAGTGGTGATTTTCGGTGTGACACTGGCCACAGGGCAGCAGCCCTGAGCTGGGTGCTGACTGGCTGCTCAGGGCTAAATTGCAAGTTTCGGAGACGTTCAGACAGAACAAGCACAGTGCATTGTCTTCTTCTGTGACCAAAGCTGAGGTTTTATTTCAATTCCCAATCCATAGTCAATGATGTCACTTCAACACCTTTAAACAGCAGGAAAAATGACCATTTTGTTTAATTTAAGCTTCCATTTTGAAATGATTGTCCATTCACAGGAAAACATGAAGGTAGTACAGAGATCCCCACTCACCCTTCCTCCCCTTCCCCCAGTGGTGCATCTTTCATAATCACAGTCCCATCTGAGTGCGGTGACTGGGACATGTGCAGCTGTAGCCTCACGTCCTGTCACCACGGGGCACACTCATGTGACTGCCACCTCCATCCACACACAGGACTCTTCCGTCCCCGCCAAGGCTTCCCTCCTGCTGCCTCTTCATGCCCACACCCACCACAAGGCCATGGTCCTCTGTTCCTTCTCTGTCATTTTGCCTTTTCAAGAGTGCCATGTAGTCATATAATTACCCAGCTTATAATCTTTGGGATCAGCTTTATCATGGGCATTATTCTCTGATCCTCTCCTATTGTCCCATGTATCAATAGTTCAATCCTTTGTATTATCGAGTGAGATTACTCATGTGGATGCACCACACTCTGCTTAACATTCCCAACTGAAGGACGGTAGAGTTGTCTTGCAGTTTCGGTTGTTAGAAATAAAGAAGGGTGTCTATTACAAGCACAGCTGTGCTCAGGATTCAGGGTGAACAGAAGTTTTCATCTCTCTGAGATGAATGCCCAGGAGTGCAATGGTGGATTGCGTGATATGCATGTATTCCACTTTGAACAAAACTGAAACCTGTTTCCAGAGTGGCTATATCTCCTCACATTTCTACCAGCCATGTGTAAGAAGTCCAGTTTCTGTCTATCCTGTCCCACGTTCAGTGTTGTCATTATCTTTCTTAAACTGTGTGAATAACACATGACATAGAATTCACCATCTTAACTGTAAGTCCACAGTGCAGTGGGGTTTCCTATACTCACCGTGTTGTGCAACAGAGCTTCAAAACCTTCTCATCTTGCAAACCAAAAACTCCATCCCCATGAAACGAAACCCTTTCCCCTTTTCCCCACACATGGGTGACTACCATTCTCCACTCTGTTGCTATGAACTTGACTTCTTAAGATGCCTCATATAAGGGGACTCACTCAGTGTTTGTCTCTTGATGGCTGGTTGATTGCCCTTAGCTTAATGTCCACACTGTAATATGGGCTAGGATCTTTTTCTGTTTTAAGGTTCTTCCATTGTATGTGTGTACCACATGTGGTTTCATTCATCCATCCGTAGACACGTGCATGTCTCCTACCTCTTGGCTGTGCAGCGATGAACTTGGGCACGCAAATACGTATGTCTTCCTGACCTGCTTTCGATGCCTTTGAATTATACCTAGAAGTGAAGTTGCTGAATCATGTGGTAGTTCCATTTTAAATTTTTGAGTGATGGTAACACTGTTTTTCATAGTGGTTTTCCCTTTTAGGCATTCTCATCCACAGTGCACAGGGGTTCCAATTTCTCCACATCCTTGCCACCACTTCTAATTTTCTCAGTTTTCATAGTAGCCTTGTCTACAGCCCAAACACTTGGGTGGACACTGCAACACTGCCCCTTCACCCCATGCGGTCACAGAGCCACCGTGCTCGCTAGTGAGGCCCAAACATGTGGAGTGAAGCCGCGATGCGAGCCCGTCCCACTCCCACGATCCTCGCACTGCCCACCTGTGATCTGTTCAGTGATCAACATGAGGGCCTGGAGCACTGTCCTGGACAGGAGTCTGTGGGGCAAGATGTCCTGAGAGTTTGACGGCCACCCTCGTGACTCAGCCTCCTACAGCCTCCTACAGAAATGCCCCGACCAGCACGTGGCCAAACCGCATGAAGCCTTGTTTGACATTTAAGGCAGGGACCTCGACTAATACAGAGCCCAGGGGACAACAGGATGTGGACTTGTTCCTCAACTCCACTAACCCCTTTTGAGCTTGGAGAGATTGGACCATAGACAAACAAACCCTCCCTGTTCACAACTGGCAGTCTCTCTTGTGCCCTACCCCTCGGTCCCACACAACGTTTTGGAAGGTCCTCACCTGTTCAGCTCCCTCAGTCCCCTGTGGAGTCACCCTGACCAGCTCCACAGCATGGAGTGGTGAAGGGGCATCTTCCTACCTGCCCCCATTCATTCCCCAAACCTTCCTGTTGATGCCTTCAGTGCATGTAAAGACCACACAATCCCCAAAAAGGCTTTGGAGGGCAGAGAAAGGACACCAGTCTGGCCTTTTATTGTGGCTGGGGTGGGCCAGGGAGAGCATTCCTGCTGCAGCCGGGGTGTTCTCAGTCTGAACCCCCCACGCACCCAAGCAGGGAGCGCTGAGTGTTCTCACCAGCTCACCCAGACACGGGGCACGAAAGGCAGAGAGAGGTGAGCCTTGAAAGCTGTCACAGTCCAACACCCAATATCCAGCCACTCTTAGGTACAGTGTCTTTCCTCACTCCTTTGTTCTGGGGGCAGGAAAGCAGCCCACGCGATCAGACAGGCACCAGAAACATGAAAGTTTGGCCTGCTGTTCATGTACATGCCACAGCCTCCACTGCCCACCCTGAGGGCACTGCTCCCCACCACCCCGTATTCAACATCCCCGCCTGCCTGTCAGGGGACCGCACTTCAGTGTGCTGCCTCCCCACCCACTTCCCCGTGTCTTCTCTCCCAATCTGGGTGATGAGCCTCTGGTGTCGGTTAGAAGAGCTGACTGCAAGCCACAGAAAGGACTTCTGACTGCCCAAGCAAGTGGGGACTGGCTGCAGTGGGGAGCGTCCCTCCCGCTCTGTTGAAGGGAGAGCTGGCAGCCCAAAGGACAGAGACAAGTCTGATTTGGGAACTGTGGGTGCCACCAAATGGGTCCGTCATCTCTGCCTTTGGTCACCAGGTGTGTGTGTCTGCTCCAGATTCAAGTCCTGGGAAGAGAGAAACTGATTGTTCCCACCCAGGTAACATTCCTGCTCTTTCATCCAATGGCAGTGCCTGGTGGGCTGAAGTTCTGTTACTGGCCCAGCCCCCACGCCTGCCACTGGGAAGGGGGTGGAGAATTTGTCATCCACCATGTTCCAGGCCCTGTCCTCAGGAAGGGTGTAAGAGGACAGTGGGGCTCACAGCAGTTAAGTAAAATGCCAAGGTCACATCACAAGACAGTGGTGACCTCCTATTCTATTACATATTGCTGCTTTGATTTGCTAATATGTTGTGGGGGATTTTTGTGCCTGTGTTCATGAGGGAAACTGGCC